GAGAAAGAGGCAAAGACTGAGACAGAGAGATAAGCACCTGAGGGAACCAAACCCATGACTGGCCATGTGGCTTCCAGAACTACTATTGGAACATATTTCTATGCTATGTTCATTTCTTTATTTTTTTCCAAACAATCATAACTCAAGGATGCTTTCAGAAATTTTGCCAAAATCAACATTACTGGATTATTTTCCTTAAATATTTTTAAAGTAGTAAAAAGTTGTACAAGTAACTATTGGGTTGTCAGGGAGAGTCATGATGCATTTTTGCATAGAAAAATGTATCCTGACTTTCCTGACAACCCAATATTAAGTTAGAATAATATTGATTACTTTAAACTTATTTTTTAAAATTTATTTATTTCTTCCATGAGATAGAGACAGAGAGACAGCCCCCAACAGGGATTTGACACTATGATACACCCCTAGTCTTCAGTCAGCTCCAGGTTATGGACACACACAGGCCTCACATACTCAGGGAATTCTCTGGACAGGAACCTGGAGCCTTCTCATGTGGATCAACCTCACAGATAGTCATGTTGTATCATTGGACCACTGTCTGGCCTCCTCTAAACTTAGTCTTCATAGGTTTATTTGTATTTCTGCTTTTACTGTTATTACCATTTTAATTGACAAATAGTCTGTATATTTGTGGTGAGCAACATGGTATTTTGAAATATGTATGCATTGTGGAATGGCTACGCAAGCTAGTTAACATATATATTATCTCACACCCCTATTTATTTAGATTATTTCAATTTCCTGACCCCACTCCAGCCCATGGTAACCACCAACCACCATTCTACTCTCTGCTTCTGGGAGTTAGAGTTTTTCAGATTACACGTGTAAATGAAATGACTTTCTGTGCCTGGCTTGTTTTACTTTCACATAGTGTCCCCCCGGTTCACCCTTACTGTTTCACAAGTTTCTGCTCTTCGGTAAGGAGTCGTTGTGATCAGTGAGCGTGTCCTGTGTGTGCGTGATATCCACACATCATGTGGGCATGGTCCTGGGTGCTTGCAATTCCTAATTTTCAAGAGCTCCTGGGTTAAGATGGAAAGGCATGTACTTCAGAGTAACTAGAAGATTTCAGATGCTCACGTCAGCAAGTGATGATGAAGGTCTGAGATGCCGGGTATGTTTATCGTCCTGATCTGATCATCACTCATTGTATTACTATATATTGAAAAACCACATGATAGCTTATAAATATGTATGACTATTATGTCAATTAAAAAAATGTAATAAAAAAGAGGAAGAGCCAAGTCTTAAATTGTTCTTGAAGTAAACTCCATTATGCCCAAGGCACTTTGCTAATGAAAACGACACCATGAGCTCTAACAACATATAAATGTTAGCTAAGCTGGAAGCTTAGGAAGTCTGAGTTGTTTTTCAGAAACACTTTCTAAGCTGTAATCCAACTAGAACAAGTTGTGATCAGTTACTGAACCAAAGACCCTGGACTTTGCTCATTGCAATACTGTCATCTCTGCCCCAGAAGGAGCGTGACTTTCTTTTGTGCATGCACCAGAGAGACCCCACCTCTACATGCTACTCTCTCACCTGCCAGATTCTTGGCCCTAATAAAAAGCCTGACTCCTGGGACCAGCAGATGGCATAATGGCCATGTTGCTGGACTCCCATGTAGTAGTCGACCATGGTTGGAGTCCCCAACCCGGTGACTTAAACTCACGCCAGGCATGTGTGCGTGTGTGCCCAAGATCCTGAGAGGAGAATGGAGGAGAAGGGATTGTGGTGTGGCCATCCCCCCGGGAGAGTGATTTCTTGCTTTCTGTCTCTCTCTCTGGCTTTGGGAATGACCTAGTCTTGGTTACATTACTGGCTTGTGTCCCTGAGAGTCTGGCAACAGATACTTATGGCTTGAGGTGCTTCCTACCACCAGAGGAAGAAGGCAAAATTGAACAAAGCAAAAATAATCCATTCCCCATCGCTTCCTATCTACAAAGTCTCTTTCTTCAGTAAATTTTGTTTCCAATTATTTTTTCTGTTCTTGTTTCTTTGTTTTTATTTCTTAATGTGGAAGGGATTCCTTGGATTTGCTCTGATTTTCAGTAAATGTCAGTTTGGCCCTTGCGCTGTTGAATGTCAGGCCAACGTCATGGAAAGTCACTTAGGTGATCGCTTTGCCTTAGCACATTTAGGTCGTTTCCCAGTGTTTTCTTCCATTATGATCAGGAAGTTCTTTAGGTGTCTTTGGGTTTACAGAATCATTGTATATGTGTGTTGGGGGAGGTGGAGGGAGGAACTAGCAATTTGGTTTACTGTGTTTAGTAAGTCCAGGAAGAAAAGCAATTCATTGGTAATGCAAGAATAGCTCAAGGCATGCCTTCATGGGGAAAAGCAGAGAAGACGCCTCTGGAAAGGGTGGTTGTGTTGTTAGAAGTGATTCTGACAGGGAGTAAAAGTTTTAAGGGAAAACTGAAGGCTGATGAAAATAAACTGCTAAGTAAAAACCATAAACATCTCGGGTAACCTTTCTAAGCTGGAAATAGGCAAACTCAAGTTATTTTTTTCTTAGTCTTTAGGCATCATTTCATTCATTAATGTTGACTTTCTCTTTTCTCCATATAGAGTATGTGGAAAAGGGCAAGCCTATAGAGGCAACAATTATAATGATGAGATGCCTAGTGCAGAGCTGTGGTCCTCAAACTGTGATCCTTGGACCAGCAATATCAGCATCATCAGAGAATTTGTAAAGAATATGGATTCCCAGGCCCTATTCCTGATCTACTAAATCCTAATCTGTGCTTTGACAAAAGCTCTCCAGGTGAAACTGTTGCCTCTTTGAGAACCACTGGTATAGTTAGGAAGAGCATGCTGTCGGTCTGGAGTCACAAGCTTGCATTACTTAAGGCTATTCAGTTTTTTGATTGGTTGTTACCCATCTGTAAAATGGTAACAGTACCAGGGCCAGCAGGTGGTGGTGGTTAGGGTGCTGGACTTCCACATAGCTGACCCTGGTTTGAGTCCTGGGCTTGGCGTCTTGTTTTCTCACTTTCCCTCTCTCTCCATCTCTCTCTGGTGAGCACACAACCTAACAGCAAATTAAAATAACGATGATGATAAACAAAATGAAATAAATCATTATTTTAAACAAATGGTAACAATACCAAACAATGTTATAATGGAGACTGAATGAGCTAGAATATGTAAAATAATAATAATAATAATAATAATACTCTTTAGTTTTTTTTCCCCCATAGGGTAGGTTTCATAATTTGTAGCAAGGCTTTGTGTTTATCAGATCTTTTCTTCTAATATCTTAGAGTTATCTTCCATGGCTTAAAGCCGTCTGTTTCAGCACAAAATCATCTGTGGTGATATTAAAATGTAATTCTTAAGTCCTACCCAGATCCATGGAGATCAGCAATCTCTAGTGATATTTTAATATGATGAGAGTTCAAAACCACTACTATTGGATAACAAAGACTACAGTCTTCATTTTGCAAGTGGACATGTATCCCAGAGTCTCAGTAAGACCAGGAGTAATAACTGGATTTCTGATTTTATGTTATAGTTGAAAGACTATGCTGTTTCTTTGTAGTTTTACTTGCCTTCTCAGGAACTAGACTTGTGCCACATTGTTTACTGAGATTCAGCATGATGGCAGAACCAATTAGAGATGGGTTGCCCAGCTGCCAATCCAGTGTCTTTTCACTATATTCTGTCATAATCCTTCCTTATTTAAATTACCTAAAGCAGTATTTAAATATTTTAAAAATAATTATACCTATATTGCTTACATAAAACGTGGTCTCACTTAAAGATACTCTATGTAAACATCTTCTTTTAAGTTTATTTATTTCTTCTGACACACACACACACACACACACACACACACATGCACACACACACAAAGAGCGAGAAAGGAAAACACCCCCTAAGAGGGTCTTCACACAGCAATCCACTCCCCATATTATGGGCACTTGTACATTCCTGGTGTGCTCAGAAAGGTCATGGGATGGGAACCCAGGACTTTCCCCAAGTGAGTCTAGGTGTATTACCACTTCGCCACCGCCTAGCCCATTTGCCTTTTTATTTTTCTACCTATTTGACTGTAAGGCGATGTAGACAGAAGATGTACCTATTTCGCTCCAGTGCCAAGCACAATGCCTGATATGTAGAAGAGACTCAAACCTTGGTCCATTTTAAGAACTTCTTTTTGACTATTTCCTTCATAGATGGACACTAATATAGACATAGGATTGTCTATCTACTACTCAGTTAACTTGACTCCAGATCTATTAAAGGGACCAGGTGTCCTAGAGCATTCAGGCCTAGCTTTTCTACAGCACTCAGGACCACAATGCCCTGTCTTCCAGTACTTGTGTTCTATGTAAGTCACTGACCACAGGTGACTATTAAGCACTTGAAATGTGACTATGTGAAGTGCCATGTGCTGTGATTATAAAACACACATCAGATTCAAAAATGTAGTAGAAAAAATGTGAGATATGTCATTAATAATTTTTATATTGCTTACTTATTGAAAAGATAGTAATTTGGATATATTGAGTTATATTAAATATGTGGAGTCTTCAGAACCAGTAGGTGGCGTGATAGTTAAGGTGCTGAATTCCCACAGGACTGACCGTGGTTTGAGTCTCATACTTGGTGGCTTGTTTTCTCACTTTCCGTCTTTCAATGTCTCTCTGTCTCACTCTCTTTGGTGAGTGCACATGCCCTATAGCAAATTAAGGAATAACAATAATGATAAATAAAATGAAATAAATAATAATAATTTTTTAAAGAAAATACCTAGAGTCTTCAAAAAGTTTATGGAACATGCGTATCATTAAAAAAACTACGCATGGACTATCAAAATTTTTGCATCAAAATAAACTCATACCTTAATCCCATTTTCATAAATCTCTGAAGTCCCCTTATACATATTGAAATACGAAAATTTTTGGTTTTGTTTTTATTTTATATTTTTCTTACCTCAGGGTGTGTACACTTGCCAGGAAGAGATGGAGAGCAACAGTGAGCGGGTCCTCCCCAGTAGGATGCGATCATGTTGTGATCTCTTTCGCCCATTACTCCTTGCCACCAGGATTTTCGAGACATGCGCACACATGCCCAGCATGGATTTCAAGCTGCTAGGACTGAGATTTGAACCACAGTCAGCTATATGGGACCTGGCTCCCATTGAAAAAAGCTTAACCATTGTTCCAGGAGTTCAATCCTCGCTCTTTTCTTTTAAAATGTGCTATTGGAACATTTAAATTATTTGTATGGATCATATTTGTGGCTCATTTTGTATTTCTGCTAGACCGTACTGTTCTAGACCCAACTAGCTTACTCTAGTTGTTTGGCAATGCAGGTTGAAGGTGATCCACTGAAGGGAATGGAAAATTGTAAAGGTCTCTCCTACCCTGCTTCTTTCTTGTAATTGGTGCACTTGGGGAAGGACTGGCAGTTGCAGAGTGGCTCAGATGTCACTCCAGTATAATGTCAATGTCAAATACTGAGATTCAGATGGAGTTTGGCTCCTAGAACACAGAAACTTTGAGTATTTTGTGAGAGGCTACATACCTTTCTTTAAAACAGTGGTAGGACCAGAACCCAGGTTATTCTATTATGCTGAGTCATTGAATTACTTACAGGAAATTTAAAATTTTCAAAAGTTAAAATCTTTTTTAAGTTATAAACTAGAATTCAAATAAAGTTAATAAATTTTGTACGTTTGCTAAAAACATCTATGAATGAGGATATTACATTTCAGTCTTTAGATGGTTAAATAGATGAAAAATCAGAGTGTAAACTTTGACAAACTAAACAAACAGAAACTCCCTCTGTTATTATTGCTATATATACTATAGCAGAGCATTAAACTGGGATGACCTTTACTCAGCATAGGGACATACATTGCAAAGCGATATTTAAACAGAAAGTCAGATATGAACATAATATGTACTTGTAAGTAAATACAAACCTAATAACCATTCTTTACATAGCTACAAAAACTCTCTAAGAGACCCTGCACTGCAGTTTGGAAACTGGTTGCTATATCTTATTTCTTTTTAAATTATTTATTTAATTTTATTTATTCATTCATTTATTTTAATTTGATCAGAGACAGACACAGAGAGGAAGTGAGGGAAAGTGAGTAAACAAGCCACCAGGTCCAGGACTCAACCTTGGTAGGCCATGTGGGAATGTCCAGTGCCTTAACTACCATGCCACCTGCTGGCCCCACTATATCTTATTTCAAAAGACACTATCAGTGGCACGCCAGGCCAATTCTTCCCCTTCCTCCTCCTCCTCTTCTAAGGTTTTGCCATAGGGTGTGCACTTGCCAGAGAGAGACAGAGAGACAGTGAGAGGTAAAGTAGGAAATCACCCCTGGGGGATGGCCATACCACTATCCTTTCTCTTCCATTCTCCTTCTGGGATTTTGGGCACACATGCATACACATTTGGTGTGATTTTCAAGCTGCCAGGTCCAGCACTAGAACTGCAGTCAGCCATGTGGGAATCCAGTGCTTTAACCATTATGCCACCTGCTGGCCTCCATCATGAATTTAAAAATAATTAGCTTTGTCACTATGACCTTCTGACTAATTCATTAATTTAGCAAATATTTAGTGAGAACCTCCTGTGTGTCAGGTGACATCCTCGGTGCCTAGGATTCTACAGTCACCAGAGCCGACAAAGACTTTAGTCTTCTGCAGCTTATTAGGGTTTAGAGATTTCTCAGTTGGAAGCATGAAATAAAAAGGTACAGTAAATCTAAGCTATGCTAGCTTAGTATACCATGAGGGGCATTTTTATTAGTTGGGAATTGAAGTGAGTTTTGATTTTGTGTTTGTCTATTTGTATCTTTCTTGAAGAATATGACAATGGAGCTAGCTATGTACAGAAAGTGGAGATGTATACAACACCACGTATTTAGTTCTAATCTATATTTTTAGGTTGCCGGAACACATCATAGAATTCCTTAATAAACTTCGGATAAAATCCTTAGACAATTTTAGGAATTTCCAAATAATTTGGAGGACTCAAGAAAATGATTCACCTCTTTTTTTTTTTTTTTTTTTTTTTTGCTGGGATAGCCCTGCTCCTGGCTATACCTAAATCTCAGCCTTAATCTGCCAGGCACTCCAGGCCAGAATGACGTCGTTTCTCACTCAACACAGACTCATCGGTCGTCATTCTCTCTGTTCACGTGTCCTGCCTTACGCACGTGCCCTGTCCCTTACTCGTCTTTACTTGCATACGTTTTCACAGGTTCTTCTGCATCCTGGTCCCCAAGCAGAGATTCCTTAACTATGGGATTTCCCCCCTAAAGCTCTGCCGGTAGAGGTCTCCATTACTCCCTCTTATGGAAGACTAGCCTCAGCAAGTAGGTTTTAATCATTTCTTTAACCAACAACAAGGAAGAGGATTTGATCATTTGCCTAAAACGAGCAGATGCTCAGGAGGACACGTCGCCATCCCACGTTCCTCGGCCCCCTCCTCTCCGATTTCAGTTAAAATGAAAACTACTCCCTTCTCCCTCTTTTCCAGGCAGCAGAAAAGGCTGATTGAACTAAGCGTGCGAGACGCCAACACCCTCCCCTGCAGTACGTCCAAGTTTCCTTCGCTCTGAGCCACGAGAGCTCTGCTTCTTCCCTCACTCCCGCCCACCCCGCGCCACC